TACCAAAAATTAGTCAATCATGCACTGAAAAACAATTTAGATTAGTTAAAATATTCTTAAAAACTTCTTTTTAAATGGTACATCACTGTAATTCTTCAATTCAAATGGCAATTAATGTAGGTAGTGCAGGAGCACAGCATAAAAGAACTGTCTGCATCCAAGCAGCAACAGCCGCTATGTTGCGCAGGCTCTCTGCACGGGAATTATGCCACTACTGCAAGAAATGCAATAAACACATGAACCTTAGAATCAAGGAAATATGCTACTTTTTTTTTTTAAACAACCTTACAAAACCGTTTATATTGGTAAAAGCTATCCATAACCTGAGTTGTTTATCCACATACCTTAATTGAGTTGAGTTTATTTATTCGTGGTCTATAATTGTTTGGATCTCTTCTGAATGTAATTTCCAGCTGAGACAAAAATTTGTTCATGCCAGCCAAAAGGGTTTGAGGACTAGGGTGAGAGAAAAAAATTAATTTGGTTAAAAAACAATTTTGGGGGGTGACAGGGTCTTGGTGTGTATTTTGGGTAGCCTTGAACCAGGATGACCTTGAACTCCTGGTGCTTCTCCTGCCTCAGCCTTCCAAATGCTGGGATTACAGGAGTGCACAACTTCTGGCAATTTAATTGAATTTTACCCCCTTAATATAATTTTTGAGATGAAAAATTAAGAATCACTTCTAAACTCCACACATCTATATACTGGTATATCATAATATATGATAAATCTTATGTTTCCAATTTTTTTGCCTCTATTACATATAATCTTTGCAGAAAATAAGCATAGTTAAACCTGTGCTTCTGATGTATAAAACTAAACATTTAAGATGAAATATTTATGTATTTATTGTGCTACTAGTGCCTTACATGTGGTAGGTAAGTTATCTACCATTGAGCTGAGCTGTACCCCCAACTACTACCTTCAGAAAAACAAAGGATCACTGATAAGATATAAAGACTCTCAAATTAGCATTTTAAGGCAAAGAGAAAACTTAACAATTCGTTCTGTTTTCAATAGTAATTCCTATGCATTATTCATCCTTTTCACTTAAACTAGTTCTTAAATCACAACATAGAGGGGAATTATTTTAAGCATTTTATAAACATAAAAGATATTACAAATTTCATCTTATAAGAAGTTTTCCTATTCCCCTACCTATAATACCAGAAAACACTACATTGGAACCACAGGAAACTGCTGTTATATAAAAAAGTCTGAATATTGATAATTTCTTATGGGTAATGCATTTATTTTATTTATGAATTTAGTACAGGATCTACAAGATCTCACTACACAGATTGGACTCAGTGATTCTCCTGTTTCAGCCTCCCAAGTGCTGGGATTGTAGGCGTGCACAAGTCCAGTCTCAGTTGCTGTCTCAGTGTGCCCTGGGGGCCCCACGGGCAGGGCCTGCAAGACATGCCAGAGATCAAACCCCAGTCCCTGTGCCTGCCTAAGTAGATGCTTTAGTCCGCTGAGCTATCTGGCCGGCCCTACGTAATCAATTTCTGATAAGCTAATATGAATGTGAGGCTTTTCTATATATTATAAGTGTTTCTAATCAAGCTAGTGAGAAAAAGTGAAAAAAACAATTCACTTTAATTCTGCTGTACATCAGTACTATTTTCATCAGGTATTTCAGATTTACTGCTAACCACTGTTAGGTTAAGTTGGCCAAATCATGTAATATCTTTTGATCTTCTATTTTTGTCATAAAAAAATGAAGTTTCCATGGAATTATTTGCAAAAAATTTTTTTTTTGTTTGGAAAATTCAAATAATGAAGGAAACAAAAGTTAAACTGAAAGAAAAGGTGAGGGACCCACAAATCTTTATGCTTATAGAAGATACTACATCCTGAAACTATTCTACACAGTTCTATCTACTACAAGAACTTTGTGAGTCATAAAACAAGACACACAATTCCATTTAAAAACAGCAATGTGTTACAGCTTATAAGCTTACTGGGAATTACTAATTTTCTAATTGTGAGAATTCATGCCTAAAAAAGTAATTTAATTGGGCATGGTGGCATAGCCTTGTATATAATCCTGGCACTCTAGGAGACTGAGGCAGAAAGATTTAAAATTTGAAATGTGCAGCCTGGGCAACTTAGAATGTTTCTGTTAAAAAAATAAAAAGCCTGGGGATGCAATTTGATGAGAAGGCTCTAGTAGGTTCAATTCTGAGTACCAAGTAAATAATTAAAAAAAAATTATTTTTACCTGTTTGCAACTGTGTTCTTAGATGGAACACCATCAAAAACGATGACCCGATCGGCTAGATAGGTGGCCATGATGAAGTCATGTTCCACAACAAAGGCTGTCTTCTTTGCGTGGAGTATGAAACTAAAACAGGATATGGAAATCTTTTATAGCTTTCTATAACCAAACATTCAAACATCATATTAAGGACACTAGCATTCTAGTACATAATCAAAAGTAATATGGTTAGAAGCAAGCCTTACCGCTTCACAACCCGAGCTGCCATCAATCTTTGCTCGGAGTCCAAATATGCAGATGGTTCATCAATTAAATAGACATCAGCAGGTTTGCCCAAACAAAGAGCTAAAGCTACTCGCTGCAGTTCACCACCAGATAATGTCTGCACCTAATGGAAGAAGTTTAACAAAATGAAGATGTTCAAAAACTAAAATAACAAAATTTAAAAACTAATGAAAATAATTTTGCCTGGCAAGTACAAGGGCCTGATTTCAATCCCCAGTTCTGCCAAAAAAGAAAAAAGAAAATACTTTTTCTAAAGAGTACCTCTTGATCAATGATGTTTTCAATTTGCAAAGGCTTCATTACGTCAGTCACAAATTGTGGATGAGTATAAGCATCTCGTATCTTTTCATGTAGTAATTGGCGAACACTTCCCTGGTTTCAATGGAAAAGACTAAATGACAATATGTCAGCACTGAATTTTCACTTAAAAATCCTAACAAAGGAGCAAAATAACCTCTAGAGCAAAGTATTTTGAGTGTTTATCATCTATAGCATATTTCGAGATTTAAAAAATTCAATAACTATCCTGCCCAGTTAGTAAAAACGCAATAATTCTAAAATTTTAAAATAGAAAGCAAGTAATAAATGCGTTAGGAGAGAAATCATTTGAGAATAGAAATAATTTTGAAGGTCAAAGTAGGTAGGAGTAACCTGAGAACATCAACAGGAGGCAACACAAAAGAAACCACGTTGTTCTACAGTTGAATACCAAGATGTCTTTTGCTCATTGCTTCAGGACAGATAGATCTGAGAAATTAAAAGCTAAGACTATAAAAAGCATTACTGTATTTACTATACTATAGACCATATAATATAAGCGTTAACATTAAGTGCTGAGACACTGAAATATAGAGACAATAGTTCACTGCAACAACTATACAAGTCAACAGTTAACTTTAATTCATTTTCAACAGACAAGGGACATTTGGAGTGTATCTACTTTTTGGCTATTACAAGTATTTGTGTCTAGGTTTTAGTGCTAAGATACCTGGAATTACCATCATATTCCCTCACCACTGGGGTCTGAACCAGAGCCTTGACACTGAGCAATATTCCCATCCTTGTACATAAATTTTTAAGGCATGTTCTTGTTAAAGGTCCAAACTGTGACCATCCTGCCTCACTCTCACAGTGCTGGGATTATAAATATGTGGCATCATGCCTGGCTTAAAAGTGCTGGTTTTTATAACTGTGTATGGAGGAACTGTCCAAATATTCTTCAAACTAGTTCATATTACATTCCTGGTAGCAATGATGAGGTTCCAAGTTCTTCATATATGCAACACCTTCTACAATCTGCTGGATTTTAGTCATTCTTCTGAATATGAAGTGGTATTGATTTACATTTTCACAGTAACTAGTGATGCAGAGCATTTTTACATGTTTATTAGCCATTTGTGTTTCTTTGCAAAAAAGTTCTTTCAGGGGCAAAAGGTATTTGCTCATTTTTAAACTGAATTTTAATAGTTCTTTATATATGTCTTGACACAGATTATTCCTTAGAAACATGCTGTTCAAATGTTTTCTCTCATGGGGTGGGTAGGTGACCTTTTCCCTTTATTTTATTTTGGTGGAACCAGGGATTGAACTCAGACCCTTGCACTTGCCAGGGAAGCACTTATTCTACTGAGCCAACTCCCCGGCCCTCCTTTTTCCTTTCTTGACTGTATTATTTGAAGGATGGAATATAGTTGATTTTTAAAGGTTTATTTTGGAAAAATAACAAATTTTAAAAGTATTTTCCTAGTAGTAGTAATGAATCAAGGACTGTAGTCTTAATACAGTCATTCACCACTTCAAGTAAAACTGTAGAGAATCTATCTTAGTTGGATGGGAACTTAATATATACAGTAAAACCATGTTTTGGTGTTGGGGACTAAACCCAGGGCCTTGGGTATACTAAGCATATATTACTACTCAGCTGTACCCTCAGCCTTTAATCAGTGGAAGACTAAAGTTTCACAATTGGCATTATCCATGCCTACCAAAATCCAGTTATTTAGGAAGCTAAAGCAAGGTGAGAACAAATTTGAAGCCAGCCTGGGTAATTTAGTAAAACCCGGTATCAAATGAAAAAATAAAAAGGATTGGGGCTGTAGTTCAGTTGCAGTGCAACCCTGGGTCTCAAGCTTCAACACTACAAAATAAGCATATGAACAAATGCTATGAGTATACATACTTTTCTTTAATAATCAAATGAAATAATAACAACTCACAGTGGATTTGGGACTGATTTTCTGTGGTTTGTAACTGACATTAAGAACTGGCACTTCTCCTGGAAAATAATACAAGTATGTAAGATACATAAAATTGTCCAGATCTTTAAAGTTTACTATAGTAAACTGAATAAGAAGATTTGACATTTAGAGCCATACCTCCTTCATCAGGTTTAAGTCTCCCAGCAAGCATTCTGATAAATGTTGTTTTACCTGTACCTGGCAAAGGAGGACACAACACACTGACTTGAAAGAAGCTTCATATTTCAAGTAAAGCATAATGTTATGTTTTTAACTGAGAAATTTGTTTTAAATATATACATTCACACTGCAGAAGTCTCAAGGTTAAACAGAAAAGTACTTAATTAAAGCTTTCATGGTTTACTTCGGAAGTATCAGTTTATGAGGAGAAATAAAGACAAGTCCAAATTTATCACTATTTGAATGAATGTTAGGTCTATAAAGTTTAAATCTTGGAATAGTATTAAAAATAATTAGCTAAATATAATGCTCAAAGCTATGTTAAAGTAATACAGAGCATTTTATGATAGCTACCATTATTTAAAGTTCATTCACTGAACAGCTGACTTTGAAACCTACTTGAAAATTTCTCTTGATTACAGAGTGATCCATTTCAACAGTATTTCCTGCATGGCAAGTCCTGACTTCGATTCCCAGTGCAGAAATTCCAAACCCAAACTCAAACCCAAAACATGCTCTAGATTTTTTTCTAGTTTTGTTAAACTGTAACATTACCATAAAAATAGTTCATTTTTAAATCCTAAAAGCAACACCAAATATCTAGTAGTTAAAATTCATTTTATAAGTCTATTGGTAAGTTAGCATTAAAAATGCTGATGATACAACTATTTAGAAAAGTAGACAAAAGTATACCAAATTCAAATTAAGTTCCAAAGAGCAGTATACAAAGAAAAAACCTGTAACTAGACTATTTTCAAATAGTCACTTTGTAAGATTGGTAACTGACTTATTAAATTATACATAAAACACCCAGTGTATAACATCTTATTTCCAGTAAGGTTAAAAAGAAAATACTGACAAGATTATACATAGCACAAAAACTGTAAGATAAAATTTATGGATTCAAAGCTCAGCTTTAATTCCTATAATAAGAGTCAAAAATTTTCATGGCATAGAACTAATTTCCTGGAAAACATGACTCCTACAATCCAAAAATTATGAAAAACTTACCATTTTCCCCCAGCATCACCATGATTTCAGAATCAGTGAACTCTCCAGCTACAATTCCTAGCTCAAATTCTCCCATTTTTTTCTTCATTCCTGGATATTTATACATACACATCTTTTTAACTTCTTCTTCATTTGCTGTCTCTGCCACTTTAAAAACAAGTGATGCATCTCGGAATCTCAAATTTTCTGTTGGAACGTAGCCATCCAAAAAAATGTTTATACCTGTTGGAAAGAAAATTGCTCACAGATTAGTATAAATTAAGAGATCAAATTTCCCCCAAACCCTGGGTATTCTTGGATATGTTTACTTATTTGCATGAACTTTTGATATATGCAAGGCCGCATATAATGAAGGAAAAGCATTTTTGTTTTTGTGCTATGTATTGAACACAAGGCTTTTGTGTATGTTAGGCAATCATTCTATACTAAGTTACATCCCCAGAATTATTTTTTTGTAAGCTTAAGAATTTCTTGAATATACATATATTTGCCCATATGCATAACCACACACGCATATATGAAATATACTATATCATTATCACTTGAGATTTTAAAGTCAGGTTTTATGTGAAATTATGTCATTTCTGCTGTATTTTCAAATCAAAATTATAATTTTTTTCTTTAAAAGTGACAAATAGCTAAAAATGGAGCATTCAGATATTGAGATGTAATTGATATGAGTAACTCTGACATCTAAGCACCTGCCTGGGAAACGCAGGGGCCTAGGTTTGATCCTGGGTACCACACACTGTGCTGGCTCTGGAACCCCAGGCCTGCCAAACTGGCCACCAAAATCAGGCACGATTATGCACCCCCGTAACTCCAGTGCTGGGAAGGCTGAAACAGGAGGATCACTAGGAGTCCCAGCTGCTGAGCTAGACCCTGTACCAAATATGTAAACAGTTTGGGGATAATTTTTTAAAATAATTTAAGTTATAAGTATTCAGTATCATGTGATTTAAG